TCTGGTAGCATAGTGCCTAAGGCACTTGACTGCTAATCAAAAGGCAGGCGGTTCAAACCCACCAGCCACTCCTCGGAAGGAAGATGGGGCAATCTACTTTCGTAGTGATACTGCCTCGGAAACCGAAGGAGGGGTCGCTATGAGTCGGGTCTGACTTGATGGCACATAACAACAACATATAAATATAACATAAAATTTTTCATTTTAACCTTTTTTAAGTAACATTAATTACATTCATATTGTATGACCGTCACCACTGTCTATTTCTAAAACTTTCTACTTTCTGTGTCTACGTATTTGCCTATTCTAGATAATTCGTGTAAGTGGAATTATGCATTATTTGCCCTTTTGGTGACTAACTTACTTCACTTAGCATAATGTTTTCAAGATTCTTCCATGCTGTAGCATGTATTAGAATTTCATTCCTTCTTATAGCTAAATAATACTCCATTGTATGTATATAGCACATTTTGTTTATCTGTTCATCTGTTGATGAATACTTGGTTGTTTTTGCTGTTTGGCGTAGTGAATAATGCTGCAATGAACACTGGTACAGGTTTGCATATCTGAGTTTTAAAAGATCATGAAATTGCCCTCCAAAAGACTCTGTGTGTGTGTGTGTGTGTGTTTGTATATGTATACACAGTTATACTTCACTAGTGTTATGTGACTGTGCTTGTTTTACACGTTGAAGGATAGTGGGGCATAAGGCCATGAAAGTGGATCAGAGTCCCCTTATCATGGAGAATCTTGAATGCCAGGGAAGTTGTTGGAATCATATTGGCCAAATATGGCCATGACTTAAAATAATCTGGTGACAGTGTATAGGATGGATTGGAAGAATCTGATTCTAGAAGCAGAGAGATTTAATGAGAGGACATGCCATTGCCTACTAATGAAGTCACAAGCCTCAAAACCGGAGGTGGCAATGCAGTCAGAATGGAAAGGAACAAGTGTAGATAATTAATGTATTTAGTGTCCTTAATTTATCTGTACACTAAAATTTTTTTATCTTTTCTGTAAATTATTTTCCTAAAATTCTCCCCATTAAAAAGGGATAAAATATATTACTAAGCTAGGCACTCTTTTGTTTTTTAAAAATCCTTTATACCTAGGTGCTCCTAATACTGCAGAATTAAGGATTTGTCGTGTAAACAAGAACTGTGGAAGTGTCAGAGGAGGAGATGAAATATTTCTGCTCTGTGACAAGGTTCAGAAAGGTATTTCTGTGTTTTGTTTCATTGAATTCAAAATATATTTTAGGTTAATAGATGTGTTTTACTTTGTTTTCCCATTGTTATTTCTTTGATTTCTTTTTCACTAGATGACATAGAAGTTCGTTTTGTGTTGAACGATTGGGAAGCAAAAGGTATCTTTTCACAAGCTGATGTACACCGTCAGGTGGCCATTGTTTTCAAGACTCCGCCATATTGCAAAGCTATAATGGAACCGGTAACCGTGAAAATGCAGCTGAGGAGACCTTCTGACCAGGAAGTTAGTGAATCTATGGATTTTAGATATTTGCCAGATGAAAAAGGTATGACTTTTTGGTGGTAAGGTTTCATATATTTTTTAGAAGTGCTAATAACTTTTTCTTGTAAGATACATTTGCATACAGTTATGAGTATTTTTTTCTTTTCCTAGAAGTTTTCAGTTGTATTTTGACTGACTGGTTGATCTTTATGCCCTTTGCATCTAGAATAATTTTAAAGTATTTAAAGTATCTAAAATATTTATCAAAATTTCTCTTTTATTTTGAAGGTCTGTTTTGGTGAAGGTCTGTTTGGCCCATAGTGTACCCTTTTGATAGTTGGGAAATTTGCCATGCAGTGAGTGGCCTCTGTTTTGCTCCTTATTTTCTCTGACCTTACCGTACTAGTTGATGTTATTGAATCATTTGTTGTAAAAAAACACATAATATTTTTTACTAAGAGAAAAATACCCTTTACTACTGACTTGGGACATACTCTGTAATATTTATTAAATCTATATTAGGTTCATATAAAGCATTTCCTATATGTGAATAAAACCAAAACAAAAAAACCTCAAACTCACTGCCATTGAATTGATTCCGACTCATAGCGACCCCTTTCGGATTCTGAGATGGTAAATCTTTATGGAAGTAGATTGCCCTATCTTCTTTCTGCAGAGCAGCTGATGGGTTTGAATTGCAAACTGTCTGGTTAGCTGTCAAATGCCTTAGGCACTATGCCACCAGAGCTCCATGTTTGAATAAAGCACCTGTAAATTTATTAATGGAGAGGAAGTAAAATCCTGTGATGAGTCACATGCTTTCCATGGTCCTTTCTAAACAGATACGTATGGCAATAAAGCAAAGAAACAAAAAACAACTCTCCTTTTCCAGAAGCTATGGCAGGATTGTGGTAAGAACATCTTTGATTGATTTGCATTTAAGTAGATATTGTTTTATTCCGTTTTTTAAATTTAAACTGATGTCATTTTTCACGTTACCTTTTATAATGGAAAAACTTTATCATAGCAGTTAATTTTCCCGAAAGACCAAGACCTGGATCAACTCCAGAAGGACGATTCATCAAAAAAGGTATGTTTTCCCCTGTAGAGTATTGCTTGTGATCAGAAAGACTAGTGCTTTCTTTGCTCAGTATATTGGAATGCCATTGTTCAGAAGTAATAACTGCTGCTTTGATATTTTCCATTCTATAGTTCTCTCATTCTTTCAATACTCAATGAGCTAAAAAGTTTAAAAAAAAAAAACTGAATGAATTGAGATTGGTTTCCAAAAGTCATATTGGAAACTGATTATGTTCTTGGGATTTATTGTTCAAGAAATGACATTCTGATCATGTTAATTAATTTTATTAATTACAGTGTGTCATAGAAGAAATTGTTAAGATCTGGCTGGCGACAGAGTCTTACTGGAGCACAGGCACACTTACTTGGTTATATACTATCTGTGACTACTTTTTGCACTGTACCAGCAGAGTTGAATAGTTACGACAGAGACTGTATAGCTCACAAAGCCTAAAATAGTCAATATTTGGCCTATTACAGAAAAAGTTTGCCAACCTGGATTTAGGTGATCCAACCAAAGATTCATTAGAAATTTTTTTTTATTGTGATTTGGGTGGAAATTTACAGAGCAAATTCACTTTCCATACAACAGTTCACATAAACTTTGTCTAATGACATTGACCACAATTTACCACAATGCACCAGCTCCCCTCCCACTTCCTCCCAATAATTACCTGTTCCCTATGTCCATCCCTTCATGCCCTCTTGCCCTCTGAGCTGTCTCCCTATGCATCAACAGCCCTTCTTTCTCCCATGATTGTTCTCTCCAAGGAGTGTATCTAC